TTTATTTATAGCAAAACAGAACATATCAAACTGATATATTCTTCCGATGTGGGACTTATTTGTGCACATATAATGAAAATACTTTCGTTGTGGGATTATTGTATACGTCATGACTACAGAAGTTCTCACCTTAATACGCCCACCAACAAGAAAGGTTTCTCACCGAAAGCAAAAAAGATTGAAACTAATGATGAATGGTAGGGGTTGCGCGAACGCAAACCCCTTCTGCCACAAATAATGACGTAGGCTCTTCCTCAAGGAAAGACCTTAAGCATAGAACCCCTGCGGTATGTGCGATGCGGTCACTAGCCTAGGACACTCGTCTTATTGATCGCGATTCGACCCCGTCCAGGTAAGTAATTTGCTCGTGCCGTCCGCTTCTCTATTTATACTCTGCATTCGCCTGTCGTTATTTTGGATCTAAGCGATGTGGGACTACTTTTATTAACACATCGTGTCGTCTTAAGCTCCTGTTCTCCAATAACGTGCCGGTTCTCGCAACTCCATGAGTTTTTTGCTGTTGTACATATGGGCCGGACGGTCTAGGCCCATTTCTTATTCGATTGTTTAATTCCATTTCTGTGTGTGTGTTTTTTTTTTTTAAATATTGTATCACCAAGATGTCTGTTTTAAAGATACAAAAAGTTTTGAGTAAAGAGGAAAAATTCCCAAAAAATAATCCGATTTATTTAATATTTGCCAAAAAATAGCTGAATTTTTTTCGTTGGCAAAAAAATACACAAACTAATTTGGGTTAGAAATAAAAAACACGATTTATTTTTCTTTTCTGATTATTACCTTCACCGTAACGACCGTTAAAAGCGTTAACCAAATCGTCAAATGTTTTACATTTATTTACGGAAAATTCTTGAAAAAACTTTGATTTATTTAGTAATTGCCAAAACAATACATGAACTTTATTTCGCTGCCAAAAAAATATACAGATCAATTTAACTCATTTTAATTGATTAAAACTCCTTTGTTTAAGGGACTTATTTTGTTCGACTAGCTTATCGGATTTTAATCAATTAAAATCGGGTCAAGGAATGATACCATAAACGAAATGAGATTTCAGTAAAAGGTGAAAGAGACTGAAAGGTTTTCATCTTTATTTCTCTCTTAATTATTTCGATTACATTAGCCTCATATACAGTATATAGTAAGAGGATTAGGATAACATTTGATCCTCATCTTCTAAACATTTGAATCTGTTAGTCAAGATAATATCTTGACTTGGAGAGCTGGAGATGCTTTTGCTTTTAGGCAGTTTCCTTGTGGTTTTCTTGGCAACAATCTTATCTTTGCTTTCTCGTTGTGTTGCAGGTGACTGTTGCAGCGTTTTGGGCTCGCTGGGCTTTGGTGGAGAAATTGTTTTGGGCTTCCAGATCATTTTAATGTTGTTGGGCTTCGGCCTGTTTGCTGAGATACCCAATTCTTCTTTTGTCGTTTCCTTGTCTGAAACCGAAGTACTCTTGTTGTCACTTTTCTCAGCTAGGTCAAATTCTCCATTCTTCGAATTTGCTGAGATTGGATCTCCTTCCTTAATAAATAATTCGGAGCTAAGCAGCGTTTGGTGCCTTTGGGTTTCTTTGTTTCGGCTCGTTTAGCTTCGAGATGTGCACTACTTAATTGAAGAGTTAGTGGGTACGACATTAAGTAGCTTTAAGGTGACCATTTCTAACTGTGGTTTCTAGTAATCGTTGTTACTGTCGGATTAAGCTTCGAGAACCTCTCTGCTTTGAGGCAACAATACATTGTTTTGGGTATCTTAAGAGTTTCATCTAGCATTATGCTGGAATGAGTAGTTCTGAGCTCTTGATGGGTTATGTTGCTTCTCTACATCTGATTAGAACGAGGATCAGAATGGGAGAGGCGTTAGGTATAAAGATTTTCTATCAAATACTATATTTTGGGGAGTTATCTTCACTTTGATGTTCTTTGGTTAGTGGCTCGAACATTTTTTTGGTATGACTTTAGTGGCTCGAACATATGACTGACTTTTGTTTGATTCTTGACAAATTTCTTAGCATTTATATCATGAATCTGCCAAGCTACTCTATAATCTGTTATCATATGGCACTGCCCATGACTTTCTGTGGGAACATCAGAAATTGTATATTCTCTGTTTTTTTTTACATCCTGAGAACATACATGCGCATGCATTAACCATTATTATTTGTAGGTCTACATTTTGTAATATGAATATATGATCATTCGAAATGCTGTAAATACTGAATGCTTCTTGATATAATTTTCAGTTAACTTAGAATTCAAATTGATGGGACATCCAAGGTGTAGATGCATCGAAGCGTTTCAGGATATCTTCTAGTAAATGCTGAGGTTGATCCCATGGGAGGAGTTATTGATAGTGGAGGTGGTATTGGTGTAAAAATATCTCCGCGCCGATCAGCAATTGAGAAGGCTCAAGTGGAGCTAAGGTATTTCAGATTGAGAGTTCTTGATCTTCTGCAATGTGTTTAAATGCTCTACAATAGCTACAGCTATCAATCACTTCCAGTTTGTAACAAAGATGCTTGTTTCAACAGGCAAGAGTATGATATACAGCTTGGCATATTGCGTACCTATCACTTTCTTTGAAGCTGATATGATATACACCTTAATGGTTTCTTTGTAAATAGGTGATAATCTTTACTTCTATTTACCTTGAAAAATATGCTTGCACAAGCCAAGTCTTGAATGTTGGTAATTCTGTTTAATTATTTGTTTGAAGAGCGTTTTGCACACATGTGTAGAAGCTTTTTTTACATAAACGGCAACTCGGTGCAGAGTATGTAGAGATACCATTTTAATTCGCATCTGAAGAGAATGTCAGTATTTTGTGTTTGTGAAGGTAAGCTTAATATGCCTTATAGAAATAGATGATAGAATTTCACAGCTCATATGTTGAGGTCTGTTTGTGAATTACAACCTAAATTTATGTCAGAAGTCTGGGGTCCTTAAGTTACCTATCTGCTATTGCACTTTTCATGCCTTTTAATTATTTCTTTTCGTAAATAAAAATATAAATAGCCAGCATCTTGTTCTTCTAGATTATGCAAGCTTCTGCTCACATGCTTTTAGGTTGTACCTTACACGTATTCTAGATAATTAGAACCAGGTCAGTGAAGCTAGGGACATGGACAGATATGTTGTTGAGAGTGACCTTACTTTTGCGGTAATGGTATAATGCTTTATGCTGTTATGCAGCTTTATTTTCTTCATATGTTTGTACTGTAATCGATGGCCGGGTATCATCATTAGTTCATAGTGGCTTAATCATCCATCATATGTCTTCAACTACACCATTGGATCAGATTCAGCCACCTGGAGTTGAAGAATTCATCCCTACTTCAAGGGGTTTTGGTCGTGTTTCATTTCAATAAGAAGGCTTGGTCGTCTACTTCAAGTTGCAGGAATCAGAAGAAGAAGAAAGGGGAATCGACTGTCTTTTTTATTCTTTATTCTTTAGATAGTCAAATTTCATGCCGGTTCGCTGTACACATGTATAGACACGTTAGGGAGAAGAACGTGTACGAGACCCATCAGATGTTTGAGACCTTATCGGAACGTCTGTTCAAGGAGACGCCATAGCCAAGTGTGGAAGCCATAGCTCCATACGTAGACAACGACCATGTGTTCTGTCTTCTATACCGTGAGATGTGGTTGTATGCGAGGTTATCTCCTACGTTGAAGCAGAGGATTGATTCTTATGACAACTATTGCAGCCTCTTTCAGGTCTGATGTGTGTTGATTTGGATTTTGGATTCGTTGAATTCTTTGGATTTGAATTCTTTGAATTTGAATTGGTAAGTGGCTTCTTCTAGGTGGTGTTGCACGGCGTAGTGAATATGCAGTTGCCGAACCAGTGGTTGTGGGATATGGTGGATGAGTTTGTCTACCAGTTCCAAAGTTTCTGTCAGTTCAGAGCAAAGCTCAAGAACAAAACAGAGCAGGAGATTGCATTGCTCAGACAGCATGATAAGGTCCCTATGATGATTTTCATTCGATTCTATTCATCAACCAAATGTGTTACTTACTTGAGCATGACAAGCATGGCCTTGAACAGTTCACTGCCACTGATGGCTACGATTACAGCGGTGGAAGTAACGTCTTGAAGGTCCTCGGTTACTTCAGCATGGTCGGTCTCTTGCGTGTTCACTGCCTCCTCGGTGACTACCACACTGCTCTCAAATGGTTGCAGCCCATTGACATCACTCAGCAAGGTCTTTACACCAGTGTCATTGGATGCCATATCGCTACCATCTATCAATATGGATTTGCCAACCTTATGTTGCGACGCTATCTAGATTCTGTTCGTGAATTCAACAAGATTCTCCTCTACATTTTCAAGACTAACCAGTACCATCAAAAGTCACCTCAGTACGAGCAATTACTCAAGAAGAATGAGCAGATGTATGCATTACTTGCTCTTTGCCTCTCCCTCTGCCCTCAAACTAAACTCGTTGACGATTCTGCCAGCTCTCAGTTGCGAGACAAGTATGGTGAGGCCTTTGGTATTTTTGATGAGCTCTTCTCTTATGCATCCCCCAAGTTTATCACCCCTTCCGCACCAAGTTTCGAGGAACCTCTTGTCAATTACAATCAGGTTAGTACTCCAGTTTATAACACTGTAAAACAAAATTTACGAGGACTTGTGTGTATTTAACTTTCCCAACTTGGATTATCTCAAGATGCATACAGGCTTCAGTTGAAGATGTTCCTTTATGAGGTAAAGCAGCGGCAGCTGTTGTCGGGAGTGCGGACACGGACATTTCTGAAAGTCTACTCCTCCATTTCTCTTGCTAAGCTCGCAAACTACTTGGAAGTCGATGAGCCCACTACTCTAAGTCTAAGGGGAGGAACCATGGGCAGATATGCGATATGGACCGCTTCAAACTGGAATTAGGACTTTTTTTTTCTATGTTACACACCTATCCTCTATGTTCAGTTGATATGTTTTGTTTTTTCTTGCTTTTATTTAAACCATAAACTTCATTTACTTAGGAACCAAACAAACATTAGTCTTTGTTTGTTTCGTGTTTCTAAATGCTATATTCATTTGTTTCAAACAAGAGAAAAGAAAAAAAAAATCACAACCAAGCAGAAATGATGCCAATCGTTTATTCTGCCAACACCAAATTATTGTTGGTTTTGGCTTTTTGGTGTTTTTTTTTTCCTGTAAAAGTTTTCCCATATTTAGTCTTCCATCAAATACTCTCGAACGCTCTTCTTCAAATCCCTCTTCAATCTTTTTGCACACTGAACAAAGAAACAATTAAAAAAATGCTTAATTAAACAATCCGATTTCTTAGGAGGAGAAACCATTTAAGAGAAACCATTACTTACATTGTTGACATACTCGATTCTTTTGGAGGCATTGTCCAGCTTTGTCTTGATGGTTCCTTCTAGATGCTTGAGTATTTGGTGTCCTCCTAATCCTGTCAATGAGAGATAATGTCACGTGAGTTTAGGCTTGTGGAAACTATGAGAGAGTTTTTGGTGTCTTTCCTTGAGTTTTGGCGAGGTAACTCGTCTTCTTTCCCCTGCACCGTAAATAGTAAAGATCATTATGACTGAATATTAAACCCCTGCAGAATCATATCTATCTGTATATACCTGTTGATATCCTCGACCTCTAGATGTATCTCCTCGGAGACCGATGCTATAATTTCTGAGCATTTCTTCTCAGCTGCTAGTTTCAGTTTTTTCTCGAACTTTTGAAAAGCCATAATGAACAATGCAACAGCCCTGAGATGTGGAAAATAATCAGCTTAAGCCAGGAATGAAGCTATAATTTTGATGATGTTAAACTAGTAATATCAATAAGAGACCTTCCAAAGACTTCCTCTTCATCCATCTCTGAATGCTGGGAGGAAGGAGTAATATGGATCACTGCTCAGTTCAATAAACAAATGAGTGTGCAGTATTGAAAACACCACAACAACGACATACAAACGATCAGTATACCTTTCGAAATCAAAGAGGAAGGACTTATCACTACATGACCATTGTCCTTAAGATTAGCTGAGGCAGCTTCTCTTTCTTCAAGACCTGAATCCAAAGATCAATAAAATAAGCAAAATATGGATTTTGTTAAGAAGCAAATAGGATCTAGAGGGAACGAAAAATGTGAGGCATACTGTTGTAATAAGCCAACATATCTGAATCACCTAAGTCATCGCCAGAAAATTCTCTTCCGAAGTAATAATCTCTTGTCTTCCCCGAGAAGTCCTGAAAATAAGTGTCTGACAAAGGTCAAAGAAGAGTAACAGGTAAAGTTAACATGCATAGTTCTTAAATGTAGATAAGGCAGCTTGAGTTTATGAAGGTTACAGGGAATCTCCTTGCTTGGCATGTTGTCTCTTTAGATGTTCTTTTAGTAAAAGATGGGGAAGGACTTGAGATTGGTGCTTCATATCGAAACACTGGGCTCTGGAATTCGAAATCTGGCAGCACAACAGACTTTTCCATGAAAATACTACTCGGCCTTTTCTGTTTATAGACATTTTTAGAGACTCCACGTAACAACTCTCTCTTAGCAGCTCTTTCAGCATCTGGTTTTTGTTTCCTGGCTTTGCTCTTCGGATGAAGCTCATGGGAACAAGGTGGAGTTTTCCTCTTGTTTGCTGCATTCCTAATCTCATCCCACGGTCTTGATCTTAGACCAGAAATCCTTATGGATTTTTCATTCCCTGAATTAACCATCCTCTCTGGGTCTGAGATCCAATTTGGGTTTTCATTTGGCGATTTGTTCCTAACCGACAGCTATGGCGTCAGGGAAATGATACACGTCGAGGGAACTATGTCAGAACGCGTTTCTATCGACTCTTCCCTGCGGTTGGTGGTACATCGTGGAGGTTATTTAGGTACACAATCAACAGTAATACAGTTGCACTTTACGTAATGGAGTACTGTAAGCCACTCGCTCATCCACCGCCCGT